CTCGTTGGGTTCGACACTCTTACTTATCGAAAGAGGCTACAATTGATCCCCTATACTTGTGGGTTATCAGTAAACTCTTTGGGTGTTATCACATGGCGATGTGAACTATGAGTGTTAATTACATAACGATGTGAACTAGATTGTTGACTCTAGTGCAAGTGGGAGACTGTTGGAAATATGCCCTAGAGGCAATAATAAAATGGTTATTATTATATTTCCTTGTTCATGATTGTCTATTGTTCATGCTATAATTGTATTAACCGGAAACCGTAATACATGTGTGAATACATGGACCACAACATGTCCCTAGTAAGCCTCTAGTTGACTAGCTCGTTGATCAATAGATGGTTATGGTTTCCTGATCATGGACATTGGATGTCATTGATAACGGGATCGCATCATTAGGAGAATGATGTCATGGACAAGACCCAATCCTAAGCATAGCACAAGATCGTGTAGTTCGTTTGCTAGAGCTTTTCTAATGTCAAGTATCATTTCCTTAGACCATGAGATTGTGCAACTCCCGGATACCGTAGGAATGCTTTGGGTGTACCAAACGTCACAACGTAACTGGGTTGCTATAAAGGTGCACTACAGGTGTCTCCGAAAGTGTCTGTTGGGTTGGCACGAATCGAGACTAGGATTTGTCACTCTGTATGACGAAGAGGTATCTCTGGGCCCACTCGGTAATGCATCAACATAATGAGCTCAATGTGACTAAGGAGTTAGCCACAGGATCATGCATTACGGAACGAGTAAAGTGACTTGCCGGTAACGAGATTGAACGAGGTATGGGGATACTGACGATTGAATCTCGAGCAAGTAACATACCGATAGACAAAGGGAATTGTATACATGATTGATTGAATCCCCGACATCGTGGTTCATCCGATGAGATCATCGTGGAACATGTGGGAGCCAATATGGGTATCCAGATCCCGCTATTGGTTATTGGCCGAAGAGATGTCTCGGTCATGTCTGCATGGTTCCCGAACCCGTAGGGTCTACACATTTAAGGTTCGGTGACGCTAGAGTTGTTATGGGAAATAGTATCTGGTTACCGAAGGTTGTTCGGAGTCCCGAATGAGATCCCGGACGTGAGGAGAAGTTTCGGAATGGACCGGAGGTGAAGATCGATATATTGGACGAAGGGTATTGGAGTCCGGAATTGTTCCAGGGGTACCGGGTGACGACCAGCGTGTCCGAAAGGGGTTTCGGAGGCCCCGGCAAGCGTTGGGGGGCCTTATGGGCCAAGGGGAGGGGGCACATCAGCCCACTAAGGGGTTGAGCGCCCCTCCCACAACATCTCACATAACTTGGAGAGGTGGGGGCGCCTCCCCTAGGTCAGCCACCCCTCCCGGCTTGGGGGGCAAGTTTCCTAGGGGTGGGGGCACCCAAACCCATCCAGGGTTTCCCCTATGGCCGCCGCCCCTCCCCTAGGGAACCCTAGGGCGCCTCCTCCACCCCCTTCCCCCTATATATAGTGAGGGAGAGAGAGGGCAGCCGCAACCTTCCCCTGGCGCAGCCCCTCCCCCTCTCCTACACCTCCTCCTCCTCCGTAGCGCTTGGCGAAGCCCTGCCGGAGAACCACGAGCTCCATCACCACCACGCCGTCGTGTTGTCGGAGTTCTCCCTCAACTTCTCCTCTCCCCTTGCTGGATCAAGAAGGAGGAGACGTCCTCGGGTTGTACGTGTGTTGAACGCGGAGGCGCCGTTGTTCGGCGCTTAGATCGGAATCGACCGTGATCTGAATCGCTGCGTGTACGACTCCACCAACCGCGTTCTTGTAATGCTTCCGCTTAGCGATCTTCAAGTATGAAGATGCACTCCCTCTCTCTCTTGTTGCTAGTATCTCCTAGATTGATCTTGGTGACACGTAGGAATTTTTTTAAAATTATTGCTACGTTCCCCAACAGGGAGGATGGGGTCTCTGGCGGCGGCGCGGTTGTGCTCCCCGTCGCACGCGGGCCAACGTAGCAGGAGAAGCGTTATTTATTTCAATGTCATTTTTCCTGCTGCAAAGAATCAATCATCCACTGTTATAAAAGTATGTGATGCCTCCTATCACTGTATGTGGCTTAGCCTTAGTCTCTACTACTCTGTCCAACCATATTTGCTGTCCCTAGAAAGTATTAGTACCGAACAAACACGGACGTAGTCGTGAACTGATGGGCCAGGAGAGATAGAGAAGTAACAAATGAGCAACTTAGGATTAGTTAAGGCTGGACGCACCCATAGAAGTGGGAGGCATCTGGACACGGACTCCTTGAGTGAGCTCAAGGGAAAGCACTAGGATAATCTACCCAGGGAGTTTTTTGATCTACCCAGGGAGTTGGTGTTGCGATCGAGGCAACAATTTAAATTGTCGTGGTGCGAGCGGATGAATTTAAAAGAGGTGAGTCATCAACAGGCCAAAATCAGAAGAAACATAGAAGACATAGTGTCAAGATTAGAAGGAGATTGTCAGTGATAATCTTAAGTTAGAAGCTCGATGGCGACGTGAGTCCATAGTGCATGCCAGTTGTGTCCGGCACGTATGCCGTGTTAGCTAGATGTGTTCTAGTAGGTTTCTTGTAGGACGACCCTATGCGTCGGCCGACGAATAATAAGAAAATATCTGCCGCCTCGCTAACCATTCGATCGACACATTAATGGTCGTCATATATACCCGCGTAAGTAGCCACTTCTTTGCAATAAGATTGGTGTTGTAGAAGACCCTCTGTAACAGTAAGCTTCTTGCAATCACCCGAGCCTATACGTTTTTATTTTTCGCAACAAAGGTCTTGTTGCGGGAATTTTTGCAACAAAGGTCTTGTTGCGGGAATTTTCGCAACAAAGGTCTTGTTGCAGAAATTTTGGCAATGTGTTTTATTTTTTATTTTTTGCAATAGAGATCTTGTTGCAGATTTTTTTTTGCAATAAAGGTCTTGTTGCAGAAAATGTAAAGATCGATAGAATCCTTTTGGAACATGGTCGTGTTCCAGAATTTTTTTGCAACTAGGATCCTGTTGCAGATTTTTTTTTTGCAAATAAAGACCTCGACATGACGGAGAAGGTTTCGGCAGCAGGAGGAGCTTGAGGTGGTGGCGCCATGGCCGACTATGGCCGAGCTGGTCGTTGGCGTCAGATGGCAGCCGCCTGTGTTTCAGACACCTCGCCAGTCGCGGTTGTGGTGTGCGTGGTGGTGCAGCTCGCAACTTCAATGCTCCATGCACGTTGCTCACCGCTGTTATCATGGCCGGTTGCTGGACTTGGGAAGTCCATCATTGCTAGCAAACACCATTCGTCTTTGTAGAAGACGACTGATGCAAGCGGTTACAAATTAATGAAGAGAAGAAATGAGTGGAGGGATTGTAGAAGCGATAAGGTTAGGAAGAGAGATATGGATGGACTATGGGGACACGTGTTGTTTAGCAATGGTGGATGACGCGTTGGAGTTTTCCGCCGGCTGGAGGGAAGCTTTTCCCTTTCTTGTAGGTATAGGCTTAGGTTAATTATGATGAAGGTTGCCGGTGATTAAGAGTCTTTGTAGTACTAGGAAGGTCTAGTACGAGTCGGTTTCAAGAGCAAGTACATGTAGGTTTAGGAAGTCTATGGGCTGGCTGCTCCTACATATATATGTGCACGAGGGGCTGCAGCGAGCTGAAAAAGGAGAAAATAAAGAGGAAAATAGGGGCACCACGGAAACAGCGCAGCAGAACAACAACCGCCGCCGATGAAGAGACAAGTAGCTCGGAAGGGTTCAATCTGTAGACACACGAACAATGATGAACGAAGTCCAGATCCATGTGGATCTACCTAAGACAAATGCCACCGAATCCTATGGGATTCGCCGGAGACAAGTCTCCACACGCCCTCCGATGACGCTAGAAGCACAACCGCGACAGGGGCTAGGCGCCGAGAACCTTATTACATCTTCGGAGAGTCACCGCCGCCTCGTCTCTCTAAGAAGGACACAAACCCTAGCAAAACTCATAAACGCATCTAAACACGGAGCCCTCCCGCCGGCAAGGGCCGAGATCCACCACGCCTCTATGGCTCTAAGACAACAACAGACGAGGTAGATCGGCGGCTCCGCTGACGGAGGCACAAGAAACCCTAAGCGGTTGGGTTCCCTTGGGTATAGCGAAGGGTTACTCTATATGTACAATCACATATATGTATATATATATATAGTACATCAACATGTTAGATTATTTGAGTAATCTCAGTTTAAATTCAATGCCTGGAACACCAGAACTTTGAATGACCCTTCCGGCTAGAACCAGAATGCCTGGAGCACCTGGCCGTCGGCCTCCACCACCACCTTCTCTTACTCGATAGACCCAGAAGAAACCGCCTCGTCCTCGTCGTACTTCCTACTGGAGCTGATCCCACTTATCGCGAGCCGGCTGACGACCCTACAGGATTTCTTCGCCCTCCGCGCCACCTGCCGCACCTACCGGGCTCTCCTCCCGCTGTCGCCGTCCAACCTCGCCTCCCAGGCTCCGCTCCTCCTCGTCCCCCACAAGGCATCTTCCTCGGAAGCCCTCTTCCACATCCCACTCCGCCGCATCCTCCGCTTCTGCCGCCCCTGCACCACCCTAGCCCAACAAGACCCCAGAAACACTGAATTTGATTCCTTCGGTTGCCGTGTCGCCATCAAAGACAGCGTGGCCAGCCACCGTGAGCTCCGCATCTGCCACCTCCTCACATGCGAGCGAGTCCGTCTACCCGATCCCTGGAAAGGCTACGAAGGAATCATCATTACCGGCAACCTCGTCCTCACCTTTAATCGATACCACCACACCCTCCATTATTGCCGCATTGGGGACAATCACTGGCGGGAGGCGCGGTGCGATGAAGGCTACAGGTTTCGTGACCTGATTTTCGTGAAAGGCACCCTCTACGCATTGATCTATCCAAATTACCGCCTCGTTGTCGTTAAGCTTGACAACAATTCTGTGGTATTCTCGGATCTTGGAGATGCATTAAGTGCAGAGATAGTTCCGTACTGTTCGATGTTCTGGCTAGCGGAGTGCCGCGGTGAGCTATTTCTCATTGTCTCTGAGTACCGTGCACTCAGGTACCATGTTTTCCGGTTGCAAGAGAGGAAGTGGGTGAGGACTACTAGCCTCGGTGGGTGTAGCTTGTTCTTTAATACTAGTGGATACCCCGCGCGTTGCTGCGGAAATTTATACTGGTTTTTAGCATCTCTTTAGGGCATAACACAACTTATAAACTTGCTATTGGAAGTGTCTAAGAGGTGAGCAACACTGCAAGAGCCTTGTTGAGTAGACAATGTAAACAAAAGATTTTCCATGAGAGCGATCTAATAAAGTTGTAAACCCCTCACACCTTACTATACTAAGATATTGGAACATTCGTGAGAAAAAAATAAACGATTCGACCTCCTATAGTCCTACCTACCTCAGTAAGTTAAACTTGGAAAGTTCCATAGGAAAACTATTTGTGATCCTCACTTGTTTAGGCAAATGAATTTTCTATAATGGAACAAACATTTTGGTACATAACATGGAGGAACACCCTGGTTCTATTTTCCACTAAAAATGAAACCCATCACAGTCTGTTATTACAACAAAAAGCAAAAGAATCCCCACGAAAAAAAGCAAAAGAAGGAAAACTAACAATAGCTCTTGCGGATATAGTTTAGACAGGTGAACAAAGGTTGCATGCGTCTCATATAGCCTTAGATCGCCAAATGAACAGACAACACAGCTCACAAACAAACGGTACCCACAATTTCTCTTTAGTTGTCTCTGCGTCCACCTCTTCATATTTTCTGGTTGGAGCAGGCTTGCTGGTGTAGCGACCAGACCTCAAACAGTCTGATCTCTGTGCTCAGGTGTCATCCCTGGATCAGTAATGCTGACACCACATAGTACATCGAAGGATTTATAGCAGAGTGGCAATCACACACTTATTACATCGTTGTCTCAAAGAAACTTATTACAATAAATATGGCTTAAGGCCATATAGTGTCGAAAACAGCGGAAGACTTGGAAGGTAAATGGGACCATCAACTCCAACGGCATCACTGAGTATAGGGCCACGACCTAAAAGCACTTTACTCATCGTGTGAAAAGTCTGCAACATAAGAATTTCAGCCCGAATACGGATCAGCACATGGAATATGCTGGCAAAGTAACACATAGAGAGTAATGGAATGAAACAGCTATACTATATGCATATATGGCTGGTGGAAAGCTCTATGGTTACAGTTTTTGCGTAAAGCCAGTTTTTCCCTACCGCAAAGGAATAAATTTATTTAACTATCATGGTGGTTGTGAAACATTGAGAATGGTTGACAGCATTCTCAATCCCAATTAGAAGTAATTAAAACCCAACAACATTAATTAGAAGTAACATGTTGAGATTCACAATGATATTCAAGTACTAGATACTCAAGTTGTCCATAACCGGGGACACGGCTAATCATGATTAGTTTGTACACTCTGCAGAGGTTTGCACACTTTTCCCCACATGACTCGATCGCCTCCGTTTGTTTTCCCACACTACATGGTGTTTGAGAAACGGATGACCGAGACATAGTCTTTCAGAAGCGCTAGCACCTTACGTGTGGGGTAGACCGTACCACCTACAACCCCTACATCTGCTAGTCCACCCCGTAAGAGTTCGCACAACTTAGTCAACTATGCCAGAGCCCATAGTAGCATGTGGCTGCACACAGAAGTTTCTAGCATGAATTATCTTATAATCCCTTTGAGCCTGGGTGGCGGTCCGAAAAAAACAGGCAAGTCCTGATAGACATCAGGTGCCTCAATCCACCCAGATGTGTGTTTAAGTTGCCACCTTAGATAAACCATTAAAATTATCAACTCACATCTGTCATGGATTTCACTCACCCAATCCACGTCTACTAGCATAGCATGGCATAATAAGCAAACGCAGAAGTAACTCCCAAAGGTTTGATAATAAACAGGTAATAGGTACTACCTCATCTACTTCCCATCCCACAATTTAATTAGATCCTAATCATGCAATGTGAAAGGATTGATCTAATGCAATAAAACTGGGTTGTAGAAAAGGTATGATCAAAGTGTTACTTGCCTTGCTGATGATCCGCGAGACCTAGGGTTTCGAAGTAACAAGCGGCGCAATCCGGGTGATCTATCGCAGACAAACAACAAGCATACAATAAGTACTCATCTAATGCACAGGTAAAACTCGAACAAGAGAACGAACCAGAAAGTTCAACTTAAGAACTCCGGTTGCAAAGAAAGAACGAACCGAACAAACGATGGAAAACAAACGGCGCAAGAAAACAACTTGGTTCTAGCAAGTTGAAACTAGGTCAAATTTTACCGAGGCAAAAACTTGTTTAAGTTGATTAGACGGAACGGCGGTTTCGAAACGAAACTCCAGGCGCTTGAATCACCTGATTCAGATAAACGAGCGAGAAGAAAGACTAGAACAAAGATCGGATCTGAGATCACGATCGCGGAATAAATCCGACGAAAAGAAAAAGAAGAACGATTAAACGAAGGACGTTCGTTAAACTAGAAGAATCGGTGATCACGTTCGTTAAGACGAACGGTCCGGCGAATGGTCCAAGGCAACTAAATCGGAAGAGAAAACGAATCTGATCTAGGGTTTTGGAGAAGAAAACCGAACGAAAAACCGATCTAGAAAACCGGAACGGTTTAGAAAAGAACCGGAAAGAAAACGAATCGAAAGAGAAGAAAAGAATCGGAACGATTTATAAGAAAAACCGAACCGAGGAAGAAAAAGAGACGCGGCGCGGGGCAACCTTGGCGAGGGGCTCCGGCGAACGGCGGCGTAGGGCGGCGGCGGCGTGGGCAAGGTGCGGCGGCGGCGGTGGTGAGGGGCAGCGCGGCTAAGGCGGCGGCGGCGGTGGTGAGGGG